CTGCCCAGAAGCTTCGAATTTATCTGATATAACAAGGTCATGATTTGAGCAGGAAGAAATTCGCCTTGTTAAAATGATCAGTTACATTTCTCAACATTTGGGGAGAAGACCCTGGGGAAATCTAGTTCTCTTTAAACTCTACAGATTGGTATGTTGCTTCCCCTTATAAGCGTAGTCCTTGGAGACAGGATAATGATAATAAAAAATAATAATGGAAAAGTTTAGAAACATCTGCGTAAAGAATTGGGATGATTGGAATGGGTCACACATCTGTCATAGAAGAACTGATGTTAGACATATGCAATCATAGCTTGATTTCCAGACTATCATGAATAGAAATAGAAATGGAACTAGAATATATTTAAAGAGTGATTTCTTGGCTGAGGTTGAAGGACAGATGGAATGCAGGTGTTCCCAAATAGAGCTTTGCTGTTGCATTTATCTTGATACTCAAGTAATTTGGAAAAAAAAAAAAGCACTTCTCATAATATAGCCTCTCAGGAGGAATCAATTTTGTTATTCTTGTTGTTCTTCTCCTCCCATCCTCTTTGGATTTTGCAGATATAACCTGAGTCCCTACTATATGCAAGGCAGTGTAGTAGGCCCTTGGATACAAAAATAAGTGGAAGAAAGTCTCTACTCTCAAGAAAGAGGCTATAGTGCCTATCAAATTGTAAAGTATAGTGAAATGCCATACACATGGAGGAATGTACGTCTGTATCATCTAAGGGATCCAGGGAAGGTGCTATCTTGTTTTCCTCTTCAAATATCCTCAATTAACAGAATTCCTTGGACTCCCCAAGGCCTTCAAAGAGGCTAGAACTATGTTGGTATCATTTTCACTAATGATGGACTTTTCATGTTGGCTCTATAATTAGTAGAAGAGCCAGGTTTGACCATGATTTATAAATAGAGAACTGGTTATTATTTGCACATTTCATTCCTTAAAATTAATCCCAATGACTTGGAACTTTAATTCACATAGGCATCCTAATGCCTTGGCAAACTTCTTCGGGGTACAGCCTGTTAGACTGCAATCTAATTCCTTAATACAGGTATCTGGGCTATGTGTATCTATTTAACTTGTTTTTGTCCTTCTGGTGAATGCAGAATCTCTTTATTGCTTTGTGCTCCCTGGCCAGGACATCATCTCTACTTTTTTTCTTTGCAAAGGCCAGCTAATTATGTAGATTTTCTTTCTCTCAGAAACATAACTTTATTTTAATTGCTTGTTCATGAGAACTCAAATGTGCAATCCTAAATAAAGATGTTAGGGGATAATTGGAGTCCCCTTTCAATTTGGGACTATCTGGAGTCCCTGATGAGACAAGGATAGAGAATGCAAGTGATCACTTCAGCAAGCCTTGTAATTGTGTGTTCGAGGGAACTTAGAATTTTAAAAGATTTCAAGTGATTGGTGATATTTGAGATAGATTTAAAACAAATAGGAAATGAAATATTTGCATATGCAAATAGAATTGTGTGTAATGTTGAATGGAGGTTTCTGAAAGTTGAGAGTATTGTGATTAACTACTCTTATGTCATTAGCTACTTTGAGTGAACTGCCACCTCCTTCTAAGCCCCATGTTTCTGGCCTTGCTGCTTGAGATATTCACATTAACTCTTTGATCAATTTATTCTGTTTCCATTTCTCAATTAAAAAATAAAAAGGTCTCACTTTCTAGCATATTACATGTGTTTTTCATTTTCTTGCATTATGATGGGAATTGGACTAAATCATAGTTGATGGTTCATCTTTGTTTGGAATGGAGTTGGGATATCTAAAAAAGTCTTCTTCAGAAAAAGGATGGTATAGAATGAGTGTACTCCTCAATTACATTGTTGTATTTGAGAAAAGAGGTCAATCCATTTTCATTAGTTGACTTGGTGACTCTGTTAGTCTGCTGGGCAATTTATAGTAATTAAGGTTGTTGCCCGGGTATATCCTGATAATTAGCCACAAACATATCATCAGTGATCTCTCCAGTGATCATTTTGTTAGGGAATAATTGGAGATAGTCCCTGATCTTAGAATTAAACACATTAAATAACTTCTGTCCACCACTTAATGTGTTACTGCATATTCTTAAGTGACAAAGTATGTTATCCAATGGGCATAGTTATTGCAAGTTATGTGCCCTGGGTATGACCTTGAGAAATACAGTTGAGGAGTAGGGACCCATATCCAGGAGGCCATCATCCCTGTCCCAGGCATACTCAGAGAATTTCATTTTGAGTTCTATCACACTCCATCCTTAGGATTCAAGAGCAAACCCCACTATTCACAATAAGATTCTCCCTACCATCCCTAGACTCCAAGCTTCCATATGTACTAGTGGAAAACTGGGACTCACATCTGGACCTCCCCACACCTGGGTAAACCTCCCCACAACACTCACCCTCACAGTGACTATCTGTCTTGGAAGGATCAAGTTAATCTCATCATTCCCCTTATCTCCATTCAAATCAGTCATAAAGAACTCAACCTTCCTAGTTCCACTGGGGCCCAAGCCAGTATCATTTCACCTGGCAGGGGTTTCTAATTGTTCTTCCTGTTTTCACCTTATACTCAGCATCCAGCATCCAGAGTGATCCTTTAAAAACATCATAAGCTCTCCTCAAAATCTCCTATGATTTTTCCTCTACTTGAATGTGTGATCCATAAAGCATGGATTTGTTTTTTCCTTTGTTCATGGCTAGCTCCACAATGCCTAGATCAGCCCCTGGCACATAGTGAGCATTCAGAAAATGTTTACGAGATAAATGAATAAATGGATAGGTATGAGGAAACCCTCTTCTCAAGGCCTTCATTCTTTTTATCATACTTGGCTTATTTTTTCTATTTTTAGCATTACACAGAGTGCATACACATCATTCTATAAAAACTGGAAAATATATATAAAGAGGAAAATAAAATCTTTCAAAGTGAATTTTTTTAAAAAAGTAAGTTTTCAAAGTTAATTTACTGCCTCAACAAGTTATCACAACCTGAGGACTTAAAACAGAAATTCATTCCCTCAAAATCTGAAGTACAGAACTCTGGAAGCAAGGTATTGGAATGCCCCAATCTCTCTGGAGTTCTACGGGAGACTCTGTTACGGCTTGGATGTGAGCTATTTCCCAAAGGCTCAGGTGTGAGATAACGCAAGAAGGTGCAGAGAAGAAATGATTGGGTTAAGAGAACCTTAACCTAATCAGTGAATCAGTCCCCTGATAAGGATTAATTTAGTGGTAACCAAAGGCAGGTGGGGTGAAGCTGGAGCAGGTTGGACAGACACTCAGGACCGGGGCCTGGCTTCCTTTCTGGTAAGTGGAGTCTGTCTGTCTTTCTGTCTGTTTGTCTCTCTCTCTCTCTCTCTCTCTCTCTCTCTCTCTCTCTCTCCTGATGATCATGTGAGCTGCTTCCCTCTGCCACACTCATCGCCCATGTACAGCCTCATCTTGAGTGTGGAGGAATGTAGTCTACTGTCTATGGATTGACACCTCTGAAACCATGAGCCCCCAGATAATCTTTTCCTCCTCTACAGTTGTTCTGGTTGGGTTTTTTGAGTCACATCAGGGGAAAAAAAAAAAAAAAAACCTGACTAAAACAGAGTCCCTCCTCTGAATTTGTACTTTCTGTGGTTTCTTGCTCTCTGCTATGTCTTCAGATCAACTTTGTGTATGTGTGTCAGTTCTCCTCTGTGCATCTCTTTTTCCCCATATACCTAAGGTACACAATATGATGATTTGATAAACCCATGCATTATGAAACAGTTTCTACAATCAAGTTAATTTATGTGCCCACTATTTCACATAGTTACTGTCATTTTGTTTGTAGTGAAAACATTAAAATCAACTGTCTTGACAAATGTCAAATATACAATACAATACTATAATAATTATTATAAACATTAGGTTCTCAGAACTTAATGATTTTAGAACTGAAAGTCTAAACCCTTGTCTGTGTCTTACAATGATAATTTTCATGGTATTTAGGAACCACCCAGATATTTTAGGATAAAATCTGTCATCCTTAACAGTATCTGCAAAGACTCCAAATAAGATCATGTTCACAGATTGCAGGACTTTAATGTGGGTATATTTTTCTGGGGTCCTCATTCAATTCATTGCACTAGTTTTAATTCTGGAGATATGTCTGAGATATTGCCAGAGTGGAAACCCTTCAGGGGTCTCCTGTTGCCTAAGTAACCCAGACTCTAATGTGACCAAAAGAAAGTACAATCTGATCCTTGCCTAATCATCCAGGAAAACAGGATTCATAATGTGGACAATCCACCAAGGCCCCTTTATCCCTGTGATTTCTGAGAGAAGAGTCGGGGAGGAGGAATCCTTGGGAAAATGGTTTCCTGTCCATCAAGCAAGCACAGGCTCAGAATACTGAGGCTTCACATATTGGGTGAAAGTGACCATATAGATTCAGCAGTGGATCATAGAAATGTTTATACCTGTGCATTTCATAATGGGAGACAATGCTTGGCACTAAAAAGTGGCAAATATGCTTCGATGAAAGGAGTGAATGGATACAAGAATTGAATTTATAGCTCAAAATCTCAAGCTCTCCTTTTCCCATTCAGTGTTTGCCTTTCTTGCTGTCCCTCTTGCAGAAGTCCTTTTCCATACAGCTGCTTTTGAAACTCCCTCTTAGAAGAATTGTGCTTGCTTATGTCACATTCAATTAGTTTCCCTGAAAAGAAGCCCACGCCATGCCATACCTGCCTCTGTGCATTATTCAGAGGTTGTATCAGTGCACAATAAAACCATGCTTAGTGACAAAATGGGAGGTGTAAAATTTACACGCTATTTAGTCCTTTTCCTTTTCTCTGTCTCTTTTTCCTATTGCATTAACAATAATTATCTGAATTAAGCCTCTGCATTTGTTTACTCCTTTCTGATAGAAGGAGCCGGGGCAGTTCAATCTCTGATTTATTGTTAATCTCATCACTTTCAGGTACACTTTTTTTTTCTTTTATTTACTTAAAAACTTTAAAATTGCTTACAGTCCTCCTCCATGGTTATTTGGTTTGACAAATTTACCAGGAAATGTAGAGAATGGCTTTGGAGTAGATCATATTAGTCCTGCTGTATTCATGACACGAGAACATCAAGTTTAAGTGGAATTGTTCTCTACCGGTGAGAGAGGAAGCCCTAGAAAGAAAGGAGCAGTGGTTAGGTAACTACAAGTGAGAGAGTGGTGCAGTGTCTTCCCAGTGTAGACAGTAAGGGAGGCTGGAGAATTAAAAACAACAATAATGTCTGGAGATATGGCATTTTCCTAGCATGCCCAAGGCCCTGCATGCAGAATGATAACATTAAAAAGTAAATAATGTCATTCTACATTTGATTATCACTCTAAGCCAATAATTTCAAACACTGTCAGTGATAAAATACTCCCACTTACAGAAAAAAAGTCATCATTTTTATCTGAATTCTGAATAATTGCTACAGTTATTGCTATATTTAAAAATAAATGTATGAAGCCCAAATTAGCTTTAAATACTTTAAGTATAAGTTTATTAAAGTAAATATGGTGTTCTCTACATGGAAGGTAACTAGTGTAACCTATATATATGAGTTCTGTGGTTCTAATTTATCAGAACTACTTAACCGTGGTATTGGCATAATATATTTCTCACCCCTCTGGCACTAGAAATTCTTGAATTTAAAAAGTAGATTGAAAATAATGATAATGGAGTGTTTGTAAAGACTAAGAAAGAAGTTGAGTTATGTAATTCTACCATTTGAGAATTTTTTTGTTTGTGTTTAAAATTCTTTTCAGCAGAAGAAATATTTTAAGGCTGACAAAACTGGCTAAGAAGAAAAAGACATGGAAATTATGGCAATTTCTAGAATTTATCATAAAATGGAATTTTTATGACTCAAACATACTCATCCTGAAGTTTAAGACTTTTCCTTATCAGTTGTGTGTCTGCTGTTTCATGCAAAAAAGTTTTTAATATTAAAGCTAATAAAGTGTTCAACAATGAAGGCAGGCAGACTGAGATTCACAACTCTGGCTATGTCATCTACAAAACAAGAATATGTGAAAAGGACCAATTTTGTTGAGTTAATTTACTAATCTACAGAAGGCAAAATGTAAAACAAAGAAAGTAAGTTATATAATTTTATGTTCATCCCTTCTCCCAGAAATATACATGATGTACTTAAAGTGGCTGATCACTATGTTCTCAATACTGTATTACTTGTAATATTTTAAATTAACATGTTTATGCATAATTTATATATATATATATATATATATACAAATTGTAATATAAGGGAAATCCAATTTGCATTTCCCCACACCCTGCTATAATTATTTCTGACTAATCTTTTTATTTCATGATTATAACTGAAATTATCTGATCTGCCAGACTACATACATACTTAAATAATGAAGTTAACTTGGTTACTAGAAAGCTAGAAAATTACTAGTTTCAAGGCACATCAGGAAAGAAGGAGGGAGCTATTAGAACATCCCAATTTGAATCCAGTGAGAAAAGCTGGCAGTGGATACCTGTACAGAAATGGTTCTCTCAGCATCCTTCATCTTAGATGGGGTCATAGCACTTCTTTCTGCTATACAAAACTTGGTGAATCTTGTGGTGGTGAAAACTGGCTTTAGGTGCTCACCCTCAGATATATAGGTCCCTATTTTTTAAAAAATCATGGGTGTGATTTGGTAAACATAAAAGATTAATTCTGTGAACAATGATATTCAAAATTAACAGAAGTTCTTGCTTTCAATCAAGCCTGAAGTTAAATTTCTAAAAAGTGAAAAGAAACTGCTGTGGAAGATTTGTTTGAAACAATTTTAATTGTGCCCATGTTAATGGTAAGAAGTTTCTGTGTAAGGCAGAATTGGATCATACATTCCAGCAGGCTGGGGATGCTCTAAATGCCTCCTGCAAAGACCTGAAAGTGTTTCTAGGAGGGTCCATTATAGAGAGGGAGATGCTGATGAGATCCAGCCCCTAGCTCAGAGATTACGGAGTTAACTTCAAAGATAATCCGAATGCAAGGCTTGTTTCTTGAAGAGCCCATGAATATAAACAAACAGGCTTGTCAAGATCGGGGAGGAAGCTGCTGAAAGAATTTGCTAAACCCATAAATCAAGCAAATCTTTACTTAAGTCTCAAACATGCCATTAATTAAGCGTTTTTGTTGTGTGGTTGATTTTATTTTAAGGAAAGAGAAAAGAAACATCTTCCATTATGTGAGCAGGTCTTTAAATAATGAATGGATTATCCAATACCAGCTCAGGGCCAACAAATCTTAGCTGGATCCTGAGAAAGGTAATGCCCTTTTTACTCCCTGTGTTGAAAAGAAAAGGGCTTTAGCACTTTCCTGAAGGAGACAAATAAGGGAAGAGCATAGGTGCAGAAAGGGTTGGCTAAAGGGCAAACCACTGAAGCATCTCAACTTGTGCCTGTTTGTTTCTCCCAGGTTTCAGGTACAGAGCTTGACTGTGTACCTTCATCAAGGTCGGCTCAGAGGCTGCTCTAGGCACACTCCATCTGAGGTTAGGTTAGGTCAGGTAGTTCTCAGCCAGGTGCTCCATCACCTATCATTAGCACCACGGCTTGCCCAGGCCTATCTTGTTGCTCTTTACAGGTCATTAGCAAAAATTATAGTAATCAATATATATTTATATCCACCATATACCATTCATTGAGCTGAACATTTTAGATATTTTGCTTAATTTAGTTCTCATAAAAAATTATAAATTAGGATTATTGTGCCCCTTTGACCATCCACAAGAAATCATTGCTTTATAAATTTGTACCAGGGCTGGGGATGTGGCTCAAGCGGTAGCGCGCTCGCCTGGCATGCGTGCGGCCCAGGTTCAATCCTCAGCACCACATACAGACAAAGATGTTGTGTCCGCCGAGAACTAAAAAATAAATATTAAAAATTCTCTCTTTCTCTCTCACTCTCTCTCCTCTCTCACTCTCTTTAAAAAAAAAATAAATAAATTTGTACCAGTTGAGGTCATGTGTACATCTGGGCGGCTGACTCAGGATTCATAAACAGGCTTGTCCGACTCCAGAGATATCAATATTTTGCTTCCATGTAGTATATGTGAATCAGTTAATATTTCTCTAATATTCCCTAATGGCTACTCCAGCTGTTCATAACTGCTTACAATGATCTTTTCCTTGAGTGAGTTCTTCCATGTTTTCCCTTCTTCCAGAATCCAGGGGAATCATCCTTATCCGTAACCTAAAACTTGAAATTACCTATCAAAAGTCAGTCTAAGGCCATCAGAAAAATAATTCTCTAACATCTGTCAATTCCTCCTAGCCTATGGGGCATTCCGGTACCAAAAGTTCTAATAAAAGTAAACACTTGGGGTTGGTCCTCACAGATGTCATTTCTCTTCATTACAGATTCTTTTAGGCAGTAAATTGAATTACTTAAGACAACTTCATGAGGATTACTTAATGTAACATGGAATTCCAAGTTGTTCTATGTCTGAAGAGTTTTTACTCAGTTACTTCAGAGTTAATATTATTAGAAAACACTAATATGTTTTATTGGAATCTGACATTGTCATAAATCTTCCTATATGTTAATAAGAGCTTCACATTTAAATCATCTAATACTTGGTCCTATTACCCTAGATGTTAAATAACCTAAATAAGTGAGACCCAGCAACAAGGCCAGGAGGCAGTGAATGAGGCAGTGGATACCTTCAGGAATGAGATACTCCTTCTGTTAGCCATTGGGAGTGTTAGTCTCTGACTGTTCACAACTGAGTCCCTCCCTGCACAGTGTCCTCTGCATAGAAGTTGCCCAGCCCAAAGCTATGACCCTTCTTACTGATGGCCTCCAGTCAATACCTTGTTGATGGAAGAGCTATATAAGTTTGGCCATTTTACTTTAAGAGACACAAATTGTGATGAAACATCCCAGCTCCCAAGCTCTCAGTCCCATTGGCTGAAGCTTTCATTGTAAATGCATCATAATGCATCTTTTCTTCCTGTCCAGACTGCTGCCTTCACACTCTGTAGGTGTTGCTCCTGGGGTCTCTAGGAAACTTTGTGCACTCAGTTATCCTTTGTAAAGTCTATTTTATATAAGTAAATCTAAAAGAGCTGTTACCAGAATCGATCCCCAAAAGAATACTTGTAAGTTTTAGAATTGGATTATTTATCTTGGTCACAATAAATGCTCTGGTATTAGGTGAAGAAATCAATCAATCCTAGCATGATAGAGCAGTTAAAAATTCTAAGTCATGAACTTGGACTTGAAACTTGTGCATGGGAGCCTTGTGCAAGAGGCAATATGAGAAGAAGTAGCCAATACTAACTGTAAAGACAAGGTAATCCGGTAGCTTTTGCTTGCCCAGTATTAATGATGCATTTGAGAAAGACAAAGATTTAGTGTGGGTAATCACCAATTTGAAATGAAGTATGAAAGACAAGGGACCTCATTGGCAGCACTTTGGGAGACTTTATCTACTGAACCTGAAAGCAGAAAAAGTTGAGGTTCATATTTAGAACTTAAATTTTAAGAGGAACAGAACTCCAGAGAAGGTTGAGTTATCAGCCATAGCTAGCTGCAGTGCAAAGGTAGGAGGCTTACTTAGAAAAATAGGACCCTGAGACTAGGCATAGGGATATCTGGGTCTATGCATAAACATTTGAAGTCTCAGGTCTCTCTGAACTCTCTTTGGGAAGAACTAGCCCATTGATTCCCTAGAGTGAGTCCCTAGAGCTTTCCTCTAACCCCTCTAACTTAAAATTTAGAGGCCACTGCCTTACAGAATCTATATACACCTATCTTCTTGGCCATCACACCAAGAATAAAGGTCACATTAATAATGGCCAAGGAAGTGTTCAGTCTTCTAAGGGAATAAAGAAGAGATTAAACCTTGAGGGAGCTGTAGGAAATAACTAATATGTATCAAGAACCAGGAGAGCAATGGTGGGGCTGGATTCTGGTCCATGAAGGCAGAACGTAGATGATAGATAATGGAGAAATTACTTATGTATGAACACTCTCCTATGAAATTGGATTTAATTCCTATAAGGATACTAAATGATGTTGCTAACATATGCTAGAATAGCTTCTGGAAGCTTTTAGAAAATAAAGGAAGAATTGGTGGCAGAATAAAGAGCAAAAGAAAAATCTGGAAATAGCTGTGGGGGAAGCCAATGAATAAAGAATTCCCCCTACCCCCCCCCAAAAAAAAAGAAAGAAAGAAAGAAAAAAAAGAGGGAAAGAGCGTAATATGATGGATATAAGGTAGAGGCTGGAAATTATACCACTTAAGTATTACACATCATTAGTCTTTATGAGCCCTGTCAATCTTAATATACAAGTGAGATATCTCAGGGTACAAGTAAGCTACACAAAGTGGGTAGCTCTGATTTCATATCAGCCACCACTGTTACATGAGTTCCTGTCTTCAGTTCACCCTGTGGCCACATGGCAGAGTAGTCACTCATGACCAGCTGAGAAAGAACAAAGCCAGGTTACATTCATGGAAGGTTTCTCTCCAAAGGTGCATCAAGCCAAACGATGTGGACCACTGGTACACTACAATCACAGGAGAGTGCAGATGTGCTTCTGCGAGGTGTAGGGGGTAGGGGGAAAAGCAGAGTTACTCATCTCCTGTCTGAGCTCCTGCTAATCTTCAATTTTCATTCTCATACATTTATGTATCCCCTGGCTCTGTTTCTTTAGGCCTTTTCCAAATACTTTGGAAAACAAAAACAAAATTCTTCTTTAGGATCCCAGCTCCGTGTTCTTGCTATTTTAATTTATCATTAGACATTATTCCCTCCCCCATCTTTGTGTGTTGAGATAATGCAAGATATTTGCCTCTTTCCTTGTCTTTTTGTCTGCATTTCTGTTCTCCTGCCCCTTTGATTTCCTGAGAAGAGGGTGGACCAGAGATATTCTATTCCTTATTTTATTTCTCCAACCCCATTCAATCATAGGATCTCCAAATTCTGGGGCTGCTGGCACAATTTAGCTTGGAGCAATGAACAGTTTGGTTAATAACTACCAGAAGGGAAAGGTAGAAGTGGGCAAGTTGTTTTGTCACATAGTAAATATGGCTGGTTCATATGTATTTAAGAGTACATTTGTTCATTAGCCACCCAATCTCATCTCTCTTCCGACCGGCTCCCACCATCTATTCATAAACTCGGACTTCCTTTCTCCTGTTCTTTCTCTGGCTCTAAATACTAGTCTAGAAAGGTACTCAGATGTTAATAAACCCATAAGTCAGGAATGCATTTAGCTTACTTCTTCCCTGCTTGGAGGCATAACACAATTACCAACTTACTAGAGCTAATGGGTGATTCTTCCCATGAGGAAGAGATGTAATGAAAATTCCTAGCTCACAGATTTTCTCTGCCAGGTGGAAATGAGCATCTACAGTGCCTTATTCCCCAAACCACACGGAACCATCACCGTGCAGATGCATTGTGATGCTAGTGTCTAAGTGACAGCCAAGGGCAGGCCAGGACTTCGAAGCCACATCTGTTTGACTTCAAAGCCCCTGACCTGTTTTTGAACATCAGTCTCCCCACCAGCTTCTGAAATTGCTGAAAGTTAGGTCCATGGATGCTTTTGCTCATTGTTATGTCCCCAGCAGCGACTTCAGTGCCTGACCCCCAGCACATCTATTCAGTGGATGGACTGAACATACAAGTCTTCCCCTGAGGGGTCCTTAGTGACTATCCATTGTGAGTGACCACCATAATAATCCACAGTACCTGTGCCTTTATATTTAGTGAATACGTAAGAGAGAAACATTGCTTTGGATGTGGATTAAACTTCAGGGGTTACCTAATCCTCACCTTCATAAACGACTCATCAGAAGCCTCTCGAACGAAGAATGACAGGGACAGGATTGGACTCCTATCTCCTCAATGATTTTTCAGAATAGTTTCCCTCTCAAAAGCCACAGCCAGCAGCAGAGGTGACATTCAACATTTGTCACCAGGGCTGGGGTTGTGGCTCCGTGGTAGAGTGCTTGCCTCACATGTGTAAGGCACTGGGTTCAATTCTCAGCCACCGCATATAAATAAATGAATAAAATAAAGGTTCAAAAAAATTCTGTAACCAACCCCATGGCAAAGACATTAACCAATCAGAATGCATGTTAGCCAGTATGTGATAGTGTAATGCTGCTTAGAGAAAACATACCAGGATTACCTTATGAGACATGTGTCTGTTTACTTCCCTTTTTCCTGCTCCTCTTCTGCTTGGGTTGATGAGTTCATCTCTGTTGCCAGAGTTATTAACCTCTACTTGCTCCTCTCCCAGAATCTCATGTAATCAAGTGTAAAGGCTGTGTCTGAATGTCACATGGGAAAAAAAAGTCAGGTTGTGTGGCTAATGAAGAGCTTGGCCTAGGGTGAGATGCTGAGAGGCCAGTAGCATAAGGAGATGCAGCCTTCTTACAGGATCACAACAGGGCAAAAGGCATCGCATGGCTTGGTGAAGGGGCAGGAGCATGCCAGCTCAAGTGTCTCTTCCTATTTTTACAAATCCCATCTCAGGAGCCCCAGTCACCTAGGACCTTATCTAACCCTCATTTCCTCTCAAAAACCTGCCATCCAAATACAATCAACATATGATTCCATGAGTTAAGTTTCTAGCATATAAACTTTTGGGAGAACACATTGAAATCATAGTATGGGGAATCATGACCCTATATTTTGGTTTCATTATACTCAGTGACCTCATGCGCCTCATCTCCCCTTACTATCTGTGGACGACGGAAGACTCATGAAAATGAACTGAACTTTTAGGACCACACATGGGAGCTAATCGTAGTTATGTGTGTCAACTCACTTTGAGAAGCATAAGGAGTTAAGAAAATCCAGGGGGGAAGAGTGAGAGCTGTTTTGAAAAATTAAAAATCTCATTTTGTGATCCTCCAGAGGGAGCCACATCCAGGAGGTGATTAACAGGCATGCATAATATTGGCTTGCTAATGAATTATCACTAATGAGAAGTCAGATAATTAAATGGCTTGTTAGCATCATTTTGGAGCTGCCTTCAAACTGGAATCTAAAAGATATATCAAAACCTCCCTAATTTCCATACTCTTTTATTATTTTTCTTCATCTTCCTTTCTTCTCCTCGAAGCATGACTCATTTTCAACTGCACAGATAGGATTTTTTCACCCCATGTTACTTGAGATTTAACCCATGGATGCTCTGCCACTGAGAGCTACATTCCAGCAAATTTTTTTGAGACAAGGTCTCACTATATTGTTGAGGGTTTCACAAGTGGTTGAGGCTGGCTTTGAACTTGATCCTCTTGTCTCAGTCTCTCAAGTCTCTGAGATTATAGATGTGCACCATCACTCCAGGCAAGATTGTATAAATTTCTGTGTGAATGAGGTAAGAACTATGTGAATAAATTATCTAGCTACTGTAAACTGGAGTCATTTGCTGATGGAAGCAATGAACAACATCATGGCGAATAGAGATTTTCTCTAATACAGAGAGGAGACATTGTCCAATAAAATTACAAAGAAAGGAGAAACATCATTCTTACTTATTCCGCAATTGGAAGTCCAAAACATTGGTTCTGGGTGGAGCTAGTCTGTGTGATGCAGACCCACCCCCTCAAATTGGCACTTTATCTCCATTTTACCACGTGGAGGCAGAAAGGAAGTTCACTTTCATAAAGAAACCTTTGCTCCCTCTGCCACATGGAGTATACCACGTATGGTGGAAGACAATCGTTCTCAATAGTATGAAAATAGAAACCATGCTGGGTCTTTGGGATGCAAAACCTGTTTAGTTGAGAGTAAGAGAAGTCTCATACCAGCTGCCACAAATTAATGGCAGGATCTAATAACTA